ACTACATATTTTAACTACTATGTAGTAAGAGCTCACTACATTGAATCTACTATATGGTAATAACAACATTTTTAAATCTAACAAGAAAATGATCAGCAGGTGAAAAATTTTCATTCATCTTTTTCAAATCTCTAAGTCACTTACTAACTCCCTTCTACAGTAGAAGTCTACACAAGTTTCTACTATTCTACTAGTCTAGCTAGTAGATGATTCTCTACAATCCCTACTAGCTAGACTAGCAGGCAATTTCTACTATTCTACTAGCTAGGCTAGCAGGCAATTTCTTCTATTCTACTAGCTAGGCTAGCAGGTGATTCTCTACAATTTGTACTAGCTAGACTAGTAGGCAATTCTCTACAATTCTACTAGCTAGGCTAGCAGGCGATTTCTACTATCCTACTAGCTAGGCTAGCAGGTGATTTCTACTATTCTACTAGCTAGACTAGCAGGCAATTTCTACTATCCTACTAGCCTAGCTAGTAGGTGATTTTTACTACTGTTTTCATAGTTTTTGTGAACTTAGAAATTTTCTGGAAGGTTCTTTGTATGTAGGTGTAATTGTACTTGTGGTAGAAATAGCTAGCTGTACTTCAATACAAAACATTACTAAAGTTAAATACACTTAATCAAGTTAACTTCAATTAACTCTATGCAAGACAACATTGCAAATACTGACTCAAGTTGTGGCAACCAACAAAGGTAATATTATGCAATTGTAGTTTCAATGTTGTGCTGAGTTACTACATAGTGGTTACCCATGGCTATGTTGCCAGTACCATAACATTACAGTATTTCACAGATCTGGAATTTCAGTATGCATTCTGGTATGGGTCACCTGACATGTCACCTGACTTCTGCTCAACACCATAGCAGAATCCTGGATTTCTGCACTACCATCAGGTTACTGATTTTCTGAGCTGTTATGTAGCCATTACCACCACATTGTAGTGCCAATGTTGGTGTCAGTAATTACTACATATTTCCAACTCAATATAGTGAGCATGCACTATGTTGAGCACATCAATACATTGAGCTTCTTACTATCAAGTTGCAACAGTATTCTGAAGGAGATTCATTCAAGATAAGATAACTAAACTAACACAATAAACTCATCCACCCACCTGAAAAGCTGTAAACAAAGACAAAAAGATCCCACTCACTCATTCAGACAACAAAATATGATCATCTAGTGACCACTGGAGTTGCCATCTTCATTATTGCCTAAAAAGACATTGAAATTCAGAGCAGGGGAAGATGATGAGCAACAGAGCAGTGACAGAGAGAGCATATACTCACTGATGAGAATGATGTCAATAGCAGCAAACATCTGCTGCACTGGCAGCAGACACAATTTCAATGAGACAGAAGAGAAGTCTGAAGACACATGAGATGATGTTTCATGAAAACTGAAATTGAAATTCTGTTGATATTGTGAGAAGAAGACAGCTGAAGACCCATCATGCTTTCTCTTCTTGAGCAATTCTCAGTATTCAGTTAAGTTGCATGATTCTTCATGAGACTACTTACCATGCCAGAAGCAGCAGAGAACTCAGCACAATGCACATTTAATTCAGCAGTCAATTTGACCACAGCATCTCAAATATTCTACTGCACTTTCAGCTCACTTTAATCATCAATCTCTACAGAAAAGTGAACTTATCTTGACAACATAAAGAATGATCTCAAGAAGATTCTTTTGCTTCTGCAAAACTCCAGAATCTCAATTGATGAGAACAGCAGCAGTAACATTGAGAGAGATGAAAGCAGAGAAGAAAGAGTCTTCTGCAGTCTTAATAGCTTCAAGTAAACTATCTACTTAATGACTTATATTCTCAAGTAAAATTTTTTTTGCAGCTCTATTAATGGTTGCATTATAATTTTTGTGCACATCAAGAAGACTCACAATAAGTTTATGAAAACAGTCATCAACAGCCACACAGCTCTTCTTTGTCAACACACAGTTTGAACATGTCTTATTTGAGATCTCCACACAAGAACAAATCTTATCCATATGAGCAGTATATACTCATTTCACACAATTTGTGCAGAGTGTCTTCATCTTCTCCTTGTCAGTCTTGCAGCTGCAGAAGATGAGTGAGAATGACACCAAAAAAGCAGTGACTCTTTGTCTTGGAGACATTTCTATATATCATTAGTCTACATGTCTATCATTTATTTGAGTTGTTTTACTTACTGCAAAGCAGACTGGAATTCCAAAATAGATATTCTGTATCATGTCAGTTATATTCCTACTAAAAGGGGTGATCTCAGTTTCCTATCAACAAGACAGCAGAGTCAATTAATATTTGATTACTATTCTGTTAGTCTTTTCTATATCCAGATCTTTCTTCAAGTTAGCTTACTTACAATACAGAGCAGGTGCAGGCCAATAGATATGTGATTACTTTATATCATTAGTTATACAATATCTTCAATGGTGAGTTGGTAACTTACATTGCAGAGCAGGACTGGGGGCAGGGACAGAGCAATAAAAATGTGATTGCTATATTAAGTCAGCTTGGCCTCATGTTTTTATCACCCTCATCTCTTTGGATCTACCAAACAGTGTGAGGTGGGCAGGTGGGGCAAGACTATTCATATATAGTCAGTTCCATGAATACTTGCATTCTGTTCTTTGTATACTACTTACCAGTGGGTCAGTCAGGGGGGCAGGGGGCAGGCCAATGGAGAAGTGTTGGCTTGGGAGAGAGAAAAGAAAGAGAGAGAGGTTAGGAGATTTGTGTGCAAATTTATAGCTGGTGCAGAAACACACTATTGTGAATTTCCTAATTGGAATGTGTTGTGATATGGGTCTATGTTATTCTGGAATTCTGACTAACTATCATCCATATTGGCTATCCCATATGGATTATGTGTTTACAAATTGATTTTGAACTTGAAGCCCACATTTAGTGAGTCAAGAATCAGATCCATGTATACAATTGTTAATGAATTCTCATTCTAGTATATATTAAACTGAAATCTAACTATTTTGTTTTATAAAACCCAGAGTTCTCAAGGAACCCACCATGTGTTACTTAAGAATAGACATATTAAAACCAGAGTTCTTGAGAAATTCATGGTGGGTTTCTTGAGAATACTGATAAAACATATCAAATCCAGAGTTCTCAAGAAATCCACCATGTGTTCTTGAGAATAGACACATCAAAACCAGAGTTCTCAAGAAATACACAGTGGGTTTCTTGAGAACACACATATGAACTTTGACATGCAGTCAACAATCTCAGAACCTGCATGCCTTCTTTCTCCAGAGTGTCAGATTATTGACAGTCTTGTGCTGTTCAGTAGCTCAAGCTTTGTCAGTGGTCTCAGTTTCAAACACTGATGGTTTCTCATTATGCTGACCATCATCATCATGCACAGACACTGTGGTTTCAGTGGTTGGCATAGAAGTGGTTGGCATAGAAGTGGTTGACATAGAAGCTGTTGGTGTAGAAGTCTGGATCTTCTGGCATGGGACCAACATTGCATTTTCACTTACTGATGTCAACAGTGTTCTTGTGAATGTTCTTGACAGAATTTTCAATGTCAATGTTGTCTCTGTTGACATCTCACTTGTGTATATAATGACTCTGAATGTCTTGCACAGTCTTCTGCTTAGAGCTCCAAAGTCATTTTGCTACAGTACAGCAATGTCAGACATCTTTGTAATGATGCATTAGAAGACATGGACTGCATTATGATCTTCAACAGATCTCTTGGCTTTTGAAATATCAAGATATTTTTTCATGCACACAATCATATTTGCATACAATTCTATGGCACATTAGGCTTACAATCCAGTCCACAGACTAATAGAGTTTTCAACTCATGGTGTATATATCATTTTCCCCACACCAAACATTTATTGTAGTCAAGAACTGGTGCAATCCAATAGAACATTCATAGAAAGAAATTCAGTTCAAAGTTTCAAATAAAATATGAAACCAGCTTAGATGTGTCTGTTACATTATGAATGCCAGTCTCTGGATCATCCATGCAGCTTAGTTCCATGATTCCTTGATGTTACAATCTGTATTTGAAGTCATTATTTGATGGGATTTCAAAGATCAGTTGATTATCTACTTTGGCATGTTTGATGCTACCACACTTTCAGTTCTTGGTTATATCTCTTGCACATCAGTCATGCTTAGAGACAAAATACTTACCCCTGCACATTATATCAAGAGGCTGGAATATATTTGTCACCAGATCTGAAATGTCATCATTGCACAGACAAATAAAATAATTCCACCACAGTGCCTTCAGCAATTTCTTTTCTTTGACTGAGGCTTTCTTACTGTATAGATGAATCAGAGTTAGAAGATAGATCACATCTGATGGCTTCTCAGCAAGACACTTCTGCAGAAAAGTCATCAGATCTTCTTTGCAGAGTGACTTGTTGAACTCTGAATCAGACTCAGTTGGAATATTCTCTGAAGATTCTGAAAAACTCTCAAGAAGATTCTGACTCTGTTGGATAGAAGAACAGTTCAGAGAGACTGGCATGACAGATTTTCAATAACAATATAAGATATCACTGAATAGAAAATAAATGCTGATGCTGATGCTATTCTGAATGACTTCAGATAGTGCTTTTATATTCACTGAGCTTCTATGTGAAATTCTGAAAATATCTGCCCCTGACTTTAGCACTCAAAATGAGTTCATTCAATCAACATATGTTATGCTGAATCTTTGCTGCATGTATGCCAGTGGGTCAATTGAATCAATAGTTGATTGATTGAGTTGAGTGCTGCATCATTCAATGTCTGACTGCATGCTTTCTCTCTTTATAAAACTCATCACAGCTCTCTCCCCCAGTCTTTCTTTTTTTTTTTTTTCTTTCACTATCCATGGATTGCTGCTGGTATTCTGTACATTGCCACTGATATTCCAATGTTGCACTACCTCAATGTGATATCCACTACATTGAGACAATGTCTTGCAGACACTTCAGTCATCTATGGGGCTTTTTTTTCTTTAAGTCACTGATTAATATGCATGCAGAGCAGCAAATCACTTTGTTGGTCAACTCAGATTCTCAGGCATTGTTCATTGAGTCAGACTCTCAACTGCCATTTTTCAATTCAGATTTTCAGCTGCCATTCACTGAACCAGACTCTCAACTGTCATTCACTGAATCAGACTCTCAAGTAATTGAATGCACTTCTGTGGACATCTGCATCTTCAGAGATCTGATAGACAATGAAGAACATAGCATCACAGTATGTGTCCATTCTTCTTTATTGTGTGACTAGCTAATTGTTATCAGGCTAGCACTGCATCTGATCAATCAGACACTGAGTCTGAACCAGAAGATGTTGTCATTCAAGACATCTTGAAGAAGATACTGCATGACATGAGAGAGTCATCTGATTCTATTAATCTCATTTCACAATCTGAAACTTCTTTCAAGCATATCAGTATGTGTCAGAATGAGGCTGTGGAGAATCAGAAGACCAAATTCAACATGATTAAGACATCAGTAAGTGTTAGTGAAGATGCTGATCAGTTTATGATTGTGTTAAGTCTCTGATGTGAATATACAGAGATCTTCTGTGAACACTACAAAGCTTTATTGAAAGTGCTTGACCTTCTCAACAGCATACATGCAATTAAAGATCTGTCAAAAGAGTTGAGTGCATTGAAAAGTAAATGCAGATCTTGATTTTCTGCTGCTTTCATCAATCAGATCTCTATTGCAGTTATTTCTGCAAAGATGTCAACATTTTCTGTCCAAGTCAGTATTCTGAAAGACTCTGTGCCCCAAATCAATCTTTTCTTTCAGAACTCAGTTGTGCTTGTCACTGCATTGATCTGTTCATCAGTTTTCCATCAAAGAATTCATATTGACATGGCAGAGTTTGTTGACAAGCCAACTGAACTCTGGCAGTTCATCAGCTGAAATAGCTCAATACAATGCTCCTCTGAGAACTTTGCTAGATATTCCAATGAAGATCTAATATTTCTGTCAGACACTGTTAGTTTCAAATGTGACCATCTCAGCTGTACATGTCAGCAGAAAATATCTCTCTTGCATGTTGACTAAATTCTGTTCATTGATTGAGATCAGAGAACTGATGCTTGCTGACAAGAAGACATTCTTCTTCATGTTCAGCATGCATTTAATCAGTGTATTCTGCTCTTCTTCTATCTGAGCATCAGAGACAGAGTGTCTTTTATGTTTAAGAAGAAATTGATTTTACTGAATGGATCTGATGAGCAGCTTGTGTGAGAGCCAAACATTGTAGCTCACTTAAATATCACAATCAACTATGGCTTTGATGAAATGTCAAGTCATTGTGGAATACAGAGACACTTCATTCAATGACTCTTCAATGCTACAAGAAATGCATTCCATCCAATTCAACACTTAACATCACTCTGCAGTGAGTTGGAGCTTACTTACTATGGCAGAGATAGATTACAGAACATGTTCAGTGACAGTGACTTCATTAAACAGATTATATCTCTTTCATTTCAGTTATTCATTGATGGGTTTGGACTATATCAGAACATATACAAGAGTCTTACCAGATTTTACTTGATATCAGCAGAACTCTGTGCAGCAGAGTGAAGAAGATGAAACAATGTGTATATCATTGCATTTGACTCTCATGTCATCAACTTTTCTGATGTGATCAATGTGCTAGATTCAGAATTCTGAGCACTGGAGGAAGACTTTGATGTTCATGTGGCTGATGAAGAAATGATGTGAGTAGTTGTGCCCTGTCTCATGTTTTTAGGGGACATGTCACAGCAGAATGACAATGCAGAACTCAAAAGATCAACTGTCATGTGCTTCTGTTAGAGCTGCAATGTTACAGAGATGCAATGATTCAATATGCTCTATGATATAGTCTTCAATGGCTGTTATCACCATCAACTACTACATCTCCAGGCCAATATTGATTCAAAACAAACCGTAAAAGCAAGGGATAAATTGTGACAGAATCATGATCTGATTAGAAAGCTGAGTCTCTTGTTTAAGCTAACATCATGTCTCAATCTAGTGATCTTCTTTCCATCTGATCTGTGCCACAGTGAGCTTTCTGAAATATCAAAGATGACACACATGCTCTTGGTCAACAATATTCTGACAGCTGAAGGTCAAAAGAAATACTGTCTGGCTCTACAAAAGTTTTCATTTCAACAGAATTTCAGTCAACTACAGTTTCCAATCACTCACTTGAAATTCTATCAGTTGCAGAAACATACACACACAGCCATTGTGATCTCTATCATTCTATGCTATGTCATACAGTCTCACTGAATTCAAACTGTAGTTCAGCAAGCACTTCTCAATTCATTCAAAGATGACACTGCTGATTTTATTAATATGTCAGATATTCTACTCACCTGAACCTTTGCAGTCATTGCTTGCACAAACTCAATACTAGTATCACAGAGATATGTGAACCCCAACAAGATACATGTATTGATGACAGAAAGCTGCATGATGTTACAGATGGTCATTGATGTGATTACAATGATGGCAGAGCTGCTTCAGTCAGTTGTTAGAGTAGTCTTGATTCTGAAATTTCAACAGACTTCATCAGTCAGCACTTGTTTCTTTAGAAAAGACTCAAATGAGTGGATCTCCACTGCTGCACTAAGAAGAGAAAGTGCAACATGATGATTGAAGAATTGACCCAACATGCACATTGAGCTACACTATGCTGACCAGACATGAGAGTATGGAGTTGTCAACAACACAAATGTTTTGATGAGAGAGAATAAACACCATGAGTACAAGAGTCTGATTCAAAAAACAAACAAACAGAATGTAGAAAAAATTCTGCTTATACAAGAGAGCTTCAGACAGAATCTCTTCTTAACTGTAAGACTCCATGCTGTGGTCTTCTTACATTTGTTTCATCATCTAAAAGAGGTTCATAAAATCTTCTTGATGCTTAGATGATCATGCTCCATGGCATCTGGAATTCATAAACTCTGTGACTGATCACATGATTTCACTAGCAAAGCTGAACACACAAAATCTGCCACAGACACTTCTTTATGAAGGTCAGTGGCAACATATCTAGAGACTCTAGACACTGTTGTAGCAATATCAGTTATCTCTCTCTCTCTCTCATGCTTAGATCCCTTCATAATCATCTCTCACTCAACCTAATCTCATTTACAAAGACTGCAAACCATTACCATGTTATCTGCAACCACCTGATTCTCACAGTTTGCCACTCAAATAAGCAGATGATCTGACAATGATTTTCACAAGACAGAATAACTGAGACCAAACTGAATCCTCAACTCTTTTCTCAGTATCAGAGTTAGCCAAGACACCAAGTGCGACAATAAATCTGAATGAAAGCATAACCCAGACTGAGGAACCATCTCCAGAGAACACAGAATCTCTTGAGAACTTAAGAGAGTGGATACACCTCATGAAAAGAATTCAAAAACTACAGCAGAGCTTATGAACTCTGAATAGAAAGCATGAATGAACAGAATCACTTAATGTTCTGATCTCTAATTTAAATTCTTCAAAGAAGAGTTCAGTCATCAAGTCTTCACAATATAAGATCAACTATTAAATCAAGAACTATGCAGTCTACTGGCAGTTTATCTCTCAAATAGAATTCATTCAAGATGCTAGTGGTCTGGATGACAATGAAATTCTGAAGTATGCAGTCACAGAGTTGGACTATAATGAGAAAGATCTTTGGAAATCACACTCAGTTCAGAACTCTACTCTGAACATCTGGACTGAACTCAAACAATTTCTACTTTTACAACTAGGTGATTCTGAAAACCAAACTTAATTAGCCTGGAGAAACCTTTTTCATCTTCATAAAAGAGATGATGAATCAGACTTTGACTGGTTGCAACAATTTCAACAACATTTGGAACAAGTGAATGAAGAGACACAGAGTATGGATAAGTTCATCAAACATCTTTTTCTATGACAATATGACAAATCTATGTGCAACAAGCTGGATGAACAGAAGAACCTCCCAGAGAAACTGAATGAGATTCAGACAGTTGCAATGCAATTACAATCTAGTGTCAAGAGTTTCACTTCCAACTCAAAGTCACAATTCATCTCAGAGACAAATACCAACTCTGGTGGAACACCATTCTATTCAAATCAAGTCTGTGGATCACAAGATCAGAGTTATAGAAACAAGATCTGGATCTCATTGTGACAGAAAGAAAACCAACATCAGAGAATCTTCAATTCTCAGTTTACAAATCCAAAGTGGGGTGGAAAATCAGATAAGAATGCTTGCTACAATTGTGGTGAGACTGGTCACTATGTGAATAAGTGCATCAAGCTGAAGAAGAAATAGGGGTTTGGGGAGCAGTCTGTAGATAGAATGAATATTAAGCAATTAAAGTTGTCTGAGCTACAAGCTGTTCCCCCAATCACATTGACTGTCAGAGTTTGTAACTCTGAGATAGAAAAAGAAGTTAAGTGAACTGCTGCAGCAGACTCACTATGTTTCTTTCTGATCATAAGTCTGAAGCTTGCAGTAAGACTGGATCTGAAGATTCATAAGATGAATGTTGAGATGGAGACTGCAGGAAAGAATCATTTAAAGTTAGTATCTGAAGAAATTACAAACATTTTCTTTGAGGCACAAGATACTATGGGTAATTGGCAGATGTTTAATGAGCAGGCATTGATTGCTGATATATCTGAGAATATGATGTTAGATCTCTTCTGGCTACACTGTCATGATTCTGTTGTTTCATTTGGAAATCTGTCACTTAAGTTTTGTAAACAGGGTGGATTAGACTCTATGACAAAAATTAAGTCAGTTCTTCTAAATGAACTTGTTGATGGTGGTAAACCCTTCTATGTAATGAGGGTTTGTAAAAGTGAACAAGTCACCACCATGAATGTGAATCTGCAGATATCAGACAGTTATAAAGATTTGATTGATGCATTCAGTGATGCAAAGAATGCTTTCTTGCCCTCTCACTGAAAGAATGATCTAGACATTAAGTTGTTGCTGGGGACAGTGTCAAAGTTTGGTCCCATTTATCAGCTTTCAGAAACAGAGACAGAGGCTTTACAAGAGTATGTCAACTCCATCTTATTAAGTGAATTCATCAGATCTTTCAGATCATCAGCTGGGTCATTCATTCTGTTTGCAAAGAAGAAGAATGGAGGGTTATGAATGTGTGTGAATTATTGAGACTTGAATTCAAAGACAGTAAAGAACTGATATTCACTTCCACTGATTGAAGACATTCTGAATCAGATTGGGAAAGCTAAGATCTATACCCAGCTGGATGTGAAGAATGTGTATCATCATTTACAAATAAAAAAGAGAGATGAATGGAAAACAGCTTTTCAGACTTCACTGGAAATGTTTAAATATCAGATGGTTCCATTTGAACTTATAAATGCATCAGCAGCATTTCAGTCATACATCAACAAGACACTGAGAGAGTACTTAGATGTCTTTATGATGATGTATCTGGATAATGTTGTGATGTACTCTGAGAATGAGAAAGAACACACTGAACATGTTCATAAAGTGCTCAAGACACTGAAAGAGACTGGAC